ATATATGGTGACGACTAACAAATGTTCATCATTTGACATATTTCTCGAGAATTTTTTTTAGCAAAAAATATTCAAATTTTGATTAAAAGTCATATAGAACTCTAATTTCAACAAATTTATAGTCAAACTGGCCGGCACGACGAGACATATACAATGAACCCAAAATTGATCTAATCTGAGTCAAATTAAGGCTAAATCAAGCTGTTAAACTACTTTTGAAAGTTTTAGTGCATAATTTGAAGGTAAAACTTAGTCTAAATCTGACAAACTTATATTAACACACCTAATATCACTCATTTTTTATATCATTAAGACACTTAAATGTTTGTGAAATACTGTTTTAATGGAAAGTCTCTTCCGGCCGTCCAATCAGAGTGATTTCAATTACTTCCTTATTTACGATCTGGACTCAATAAATAGAGTCATACACCCTTTTGATAAGGGACTAGCGCTGACGAAAACCAAAGCCTAAAGAAGTCGGAGTTGAAGTCCGATATTTTGCACCGACGGTCTAACAAACACTTCCAACTCAGGTAGCTGTCGGACACCATCAACCGCCGCCGACCACCATCAGCCTCCGCCTGCTCCTTACGACGAAACACAGTGCGAAGAAACAATCGCCACTTTAGAATCATATAGCAACCTACGAACTAGCGCATCATCCCGAACGTTGGCCCTATCCTGAAGATGATATACTGAAGCTTCAACAATTTCTCCCCACCACGACCTCTACCTACTTTGGGACAACGAGTTCTTTTACCACAAACGTTATAACTCGAGAAACTGTGTAACAATTTTCCACATATGGGAAAAGGGATTGTATATATAATCACTAAATCATATTAGAACATTTCAACTGGACAAGTCTCCGTGAATTTCTCGTTCTGGATTTTCCACATGAGGATTTGGAGTGTCTCTACTAGTTCTTTTATTTTATTTAAGTGTATTAGATTCTCGTATAATACTAAGATAATAATTCACTACTCTACTGTCTCCAATCTTCTACGCATCAATGATATATATAATAATTCAAAATCTTTAACAATTTAATATTTTTTAAATTAGTATTTTATGTATCAATTAAACTATATAAATATTTTTTTAGATGAATTTTCTTTAAATATAGCTTAAGTTTTTTTTATTTTAGGTGTTTTATTTATCAATTTTAAATTTAAATAATTAAAATATTATATTTAATATTTTGAAGGATGGATATGTAAATATTTTTTTATAATAAAAGGCAATTTCTTTTTTTTATGATGCTACTTATATGAGAAATTTTACGAACATGCCGAACAATTTTTCTATTTACATATTTAGCACCCTAACTGTGCTATTTACACTTATAACATGTTAGCGTTATAAATTTATGTATGAAAAGAAGTATTTCACTTATGAAAATATAAGAATGGTAGTATTCTGAAGTTGATGTTAAACATTTGAATGATATGCATGTAAATATTAATGTTTATTTGGGGTTATAAATGTAAGGATTAGAGAATTATTTGTTATGTATGTAAATGCCCAAATATATATATAGACTTAGGGGGTTTATGGAAGATGATTTAAAGAGATATTAGAAGCTATTTTTAATTGAGCTGTTTTCTATTAAAAGGATCATCAAAAAGGATGGTGTAAAATGGGAATGTCGAGCGGTAAATCTTATAAGTTGACTATAAAGTAAACAGACAGACTGAAGACAATCAGAGAAGGATAAAGCGACGACGGTTCATAAGAGGCCACGCCGCCGTATATCACACGATAGCCCATTCAGTCTGTCGTTCGGACATGCGGCCACCACACTTAATATTTTCTCTTGAACGAGAGCTTGAATGATGAGTCTCGTGCTAATTTGTAAATGTTTGAATTTATTTCATCACTATCATATTCTAATGAATGAGAATTTGTTAATTACATAAAGCACCTCATTCTTCCTTCCCCTCCCTACCTACTAATTTTCATTAGGCTTGTCTAGTTAGCTGTCATTTTACTAATAAGAGACAACTTAATTGCTAATTTACATGTCACCACTACATTTGCTAAAAAGGCAGCCATTTAACGAGCTGTTTGTCTTGTTTTGTAACATTTAGCTTTGTGGGGACGTACATAGCCATTAATTTATTACAAAACAAGCCTAAAAATTAATAATTATCCCAATTAGGTGACCTCTATAATTTTGTTTTTTGTAACTTTGGCTTGCCTTTATTAAAGTCTTGATGACTTTTAGGTACGTTTCGACAATTATTAGCCATTAATTAATTACTAAACTAGTTAATCCCATGATTAATACGTTAACAAATCATTAATTAACAAAATTGACAATAGCGAATTTTTGAAATGATAAGAAATTAAGTTTAATTTTAAAATATTTTTCTTTTATATTATTTTTTTGTTTAGATAAAAAGTAACATTTAGCTCGGTTCATTTATTTCGATCTGATATCTGAACTAAATTCACATCCCAAACATCACTAAGGTTACATATCTGATTTTGAGTCGAACTAGGGTCGACTTGAAGAAAAATTATTGCCTACGTTTATCGCCCGTGCGGTGAACAAATTACAACACCCATTTACAAAAATTGTATGTCAGTGAACCCCACTTTTAAATTATTATTTTTTAAATCTTATTGGACAGCGCACGCAATGAAAATAAAAACACTCCATTTACAAAAATTGTATGTCAGTGGGCCCCGCTTTTATTATTATTATTTTTTAAATCTTATTGGATGCACAGAATAATCGCTCAGACTCGAAACCGGCTAAAAGAAATTTAACTCATAGCTCGGCTAATTTATTTCGATCCTATCTAGATCCGCGTCAAAATTCAAATAAATTTTCGAGCAATTAATGATCTTTATACGTAAAAATGGAAGTTTATGCGTTAGATGTGTAAATACATAAAATCAACTTGAGTGGCATGCATGTAAATATTTATTTACAATCTTACCAAAAAGGAGATGATGGATGAGAAAGCTAGGGTTTTGAATCTGCCCGCATAAGCGTCCGAGAGGAAGGCACCCACCAAAGGTGCGAAATTGGTCGTCCCGAAGAAAATGTTAACCACATTTGCAGCCTGAACCTCTTTCATGCGGAACTCCCTCACCAAATACACCGTGAAGTTTGCCAGCAGACCTGCTCCGGCCAGCTTTTCAAATGTCTCATTTCCTGCAAAAATATGTTGCCCATAATTAATTAATTAATTGTATTTCTTCTAGGAAAATTTACATATATACCACTCACTTCGTATGTATTTACAAATCCAACACCTTATGCATGAAACTCTGTGTTTCACTCTAGTGGTGTAAATGAGCCGAACAAGAGCAAGACCAAGCACAGCTCGTGTTCGACTCGTTTATATTTCAAGCTCAAAACTTGTGTTAGTGTTCAACTCGTTTGCTTAGCGAGCCGAACATGAGTCGTTTACGAACAAAGAGTCGTTTTAACAGCCCTAATCACGTAGCTATAAGAAATTAAGGATTGGGGCAAGATTTAAAAATTATTGTTTATATTAACATCATTTGAATCTAATTTAATAATTTTTAGACTATTTTCTTAATTGATAATATATATATATATATATATATATATATATATATATATATATATAATTGGTTAGTAATATTTCGAGCCAAAACGAGCCGAACACAAACGAACAAATCTTTAATCGTGTTGTTCTTGGTCAGCTCGTTAACTTAGTGAACGAGCCAAACACGAGCTGTTCGCGAACAACGAGCTGTTTTGACAGCCCTACTTCACTCTTTAGAAGTGAAAATTATGGTGCTTTTATGTGATGCAAAGATTTTAATGATATAAATGGTAATAAAAAGTAAAGTTTACAGGTTAAGCATGTAAATACATAAGAATTGAGAGGTATGTATGTTTTGATGATAAAAGAAAGGACATTAAAATCAGTAGTTAATGGTGGACCAAATCATTAAATGTGTAATCAAAACTACTAAATAACATATTTATGTATGAAATGATGTATTTCATTTTTAAAAGCTAAAACGATGATATATTGGATGTGTATAAAAGATTTGGGCGGTATAAATGTAATGAATTTTGGCATTTTAGAGTTTAGTATGTAAATACATAAGAATTAGGGGGTATTTATGTAAATGGCATATATTAGACTATTGGTGGGTGTGTTGACTAAATAATTGACGGATATTAAAGGTGATGGTCTTGTTGATATGGAGTTATTTAATTTTTTAATGAGTCTTATGACTCACTAATTTTTTTATGATGGAGCAATAATTGAATGTGGAAGAGAAATTGCTATATAGATGAAAATGCTAATTCAGACATGAAATAATTGAAAAACATAATAATATAAAAATCAGACTTAGGCCGCGTAGTGTGTTTTGAAACCGCACTCAAGACTAGTTGGGTAAACTGTGTTTTGACGGTTATTCAAAAAGTTGTGTTTTCAAACCGCTGAAATCAGCGTTTTCACATCGGTCATGTCTAGATGTGATGACAGCTTTCTAGCTGAAGTTAGACTTTTCCACAAAAAAAAAAATTGTAATAGTTACCACAGTTTTTTGAACAATATAGCTTATCAGCAGTTTATTAGTAAGCTGTAACGGTCCAAAAAAAACCCTTAAATCATGAGATAACAGAATTTTAAAAAGAGTAAAATGTTTAAATAGTCCCTAACTATTTATGTGGGTTGTTTTAGTCACCAAATTTATAACAGTATCAAAATAATCTCCAGACTCCTTAAATTAGTGCCGAAATAATCCCCAATACTTCAAAAACTATTTTATTGTTTTAATGAACTCTGAGGCAAACAATCCCATCTAAATAATAATGATTATTTTGGCCCTTTACTAATTTTTAAAACATAAAAAATAAAATTAAGTAATATTATCTATGAATAATTTTTTACTTTTTTTTATATAATTCCAAAAAATAATGATTTATCCCTCATAAGAAATTTTAAAATGAAATTATAAAGTTCTAATGCATAGAACTCTTCATGAGAGAGAGATAGAGAGTCTTAGAGTTCTCTCTCTTCTGGTTGGTTGGCCGCAGATGCGTGTTTCACGAGAAAATATAAAATATGCCGTTTGCATCTGAACTCTGAAAGCAATATTTTTTCGTGCTTCACATCTAATATTTTCTTCATAACTACGAAATAAAACCACCATAATAAAAAAAAAAATAGATTTTTACCAACCTATTATGAAAGGCATGCATTTCCAACCACTGTGAATTCTCTTTGGCTTCTCCTCCATCTCCTCCGGTGGCAGCGGCGGTGGCGGCGCCGGCGCCGACAAAAGCTTGTCATCCGGCGGCGATGGACGGCGAAAGTAACTCAGCAAATGAGCAGACGATCCCTTCATCTCTGCGCTCTTCTCTTGAATCGTTCTGTTCCCTCGGAGCACTTTATAGACTGATGAAGAGAAGAAGAGGACAAATCAGCTTAATCTGTCAACGTGTACGCAGCGGCGTTCATGTATTAGACAACAATAAATGGGGGCATTTATATCCTTGCCACCTAATTCCTTTGTATTTACATATATAATACTAAATTTTACTTTTTATATTTATTTCATACAAATCTTTCTTATCACATAAAAAATTAAGACAATACCATATAATATATATATATATATTTCTCTATCTGTGTGTGCAGTCAGCCGTGACATGTTGGTAGAGCAGCCTCTCTAAGGGTCGTAAGTCCCCTAGTGGCACTGGTTCGAATCTCCCTCTAACCAGCTTGCCACTAGTGAGGGCTGTCCTCGAATAGTTAGACACATGAGGGTGATTGGGAGCTCGTATAATAGTCTCCGACTATTATTGGGGGCTCGTATAATAGTCTCTCAGTATTATTTTAAAATATATATATATATATATATATATATATATATATATAATGCTAATTTATTAAAATAAAATAGTATAATTAATATTGATTTTTAAAGTTGCTCTCATATCAATGTAAATCACAATCCATACTTTGTTTTCACTTAATTAAACTCATCATTTCATTTTCTAACCAATATACTAACACTTTTTCTGAAATTCATTTTTCAACAAATGCATAATAAAAAAATTGAATTTTTAATATCACCTTAAAAACTACATTTATATATATTTATATACATAATATTATAATCTTTAATATCACCTTAAAAATATTACAATTATTATTTTTTAAAATGTAAAGTGCGCTTTCTACACATAAATTTATGACATATAAATATAAATATTAAAATTTATGGTGATATATATGTAAATACAAAGAAGTTGTGTGTTATACGTGTAAAATTTCTTTTGCAGGGCCTAGCATTTGGTTATTGAAAAGCTAAAAATATATGTTTGAGTTATCATATTAACGTCTAATAAGAAAATATTAAATTATAAGACCATTGACACGTGAATTTTATTTAAATGTTTTCTTTTTATATACTAACATTTCATGACCGCAATTATGAACAGGGAAATCAAGGGGAAGCTTCTCTTCTGTCTGACTGTATAATTATTGGTAGTATAGTGATTATAAGTGTAATTTTTTATGATGACGTCATAAATTTAAATCACACATTTTTTCTAAACTGATTTTTTTAAAAAAAGTTCGTCATATATTTAGGGTGCGTTTGGGGCAGCTTACTGGTTGCGTTGCGTTTTGAAAACGCAGTTAGGGGCGTTTGAAAATTGCGTTTGAAGTGAGTTTTCTAATAATCTCTTAATAATTTATATTTAAAGCAGTCGCGGGTTCTCTCATGCGGCTTGTGTTTGGGAAAACAAATTGATGCCCCGTGCCTTCGTCCCGTGCCCTCCTTCGCTCTCATCTCCTTTTTCGATCGCTATCGTGTCCCTTTGAGAGGTCTCTCTTGATCTTTCCATTTCTCCTCATCCGATTTCTTGTTGCGGTGCTCTGTAAGTTGTTTTTACGGTGGTTTTCGGTGCAATAGTTTTTTTGTGAAATTTTTCCCTTTCTCGTTTCCATTCGGCTTTAAGAAGCTTATGATGGTTGGGTGTTTGGTGATTTGTCAATCCCTAGTTATCTGTTATGGCATTGTGTGACTTTTGTATTTGAGTCCGTGCAAGTAAAAAAAAAGGGGGGGAATGTTTAACTGGCTTGATGTGGCTTCAATAGTTATTTGCAAAGTTGAGGTGGCCCTGTTTGACCAATGACATTGATATGGGATGCTTGATATGTGCAATCCTTTATTTTGGCTATCCTGTAAAAAATTGATGGATGCCTAGAGGTTCTTTTTTATTATTTTTAGAAAATTCGTAGGGTTGCAGCTGTATGACTTGCTACTTCTAGTTTGATTGATCATTCCACATTGAGTAGTTTATAGTGGAAGTGAATTTCGAGCTTTTGTTTCCACTATGACATTTCATTTTGAATGGATTGAGTAGTTTATAGTTTTTGCTTGGTGCAACTTATAAGATTTTGTGCTAAAGAAAGTTATGGATAATATAAATCTATTATCCTTTTCATATCTTCTTTAAAAAAAAGAAATGTTTATGCGATGATCTTATAGTGGAAGTGAATTTTATGCTTTTCTTACAACTCGGACAGTGAATATTGGATGGATTGAGTTGTTTGGTGATAGTTTGGCTGAACTAGAAAGAATAAAAAAGCAGTATATACCGTTTAACAATTATAAATTCTTAAGAAGAATTCATTTAGCTTGCATCAAATTTTGATATGGGTGCCTATGCTGCTTATATTGGTCTGATATGTATAATGTTATTTGGCTCTATTGATGGTTGAGACACATATTGAACATATTGGAACTCCTTGATTGCTCATGCTTGCAGACAGTTTTGAAAATTAAAATATCAATATGTTTTTATATTTATAGGGAATCAATACATTTAGTATTTTTGTCAATTGTTACAAATAATCGTTTTCCAAACAGGTAAATATTATTTGGTGATGCTGGATAACCTATATAGAGGGGCATTTGAAGTCATTTCCAGATACCAAATACCACACTCTAGATTTCGAGAGATCAAGTGGTGTTGTCCGTAAAAGAAAAGAAATGTTTAACAAACGTCACTCCTCCTAACGGTAGCGTGATTGAAAGAACATTTGGGGCGTGGAAGAAAAATTAGGTCATCCTACGTGATATGCTGACATACCTGTTTTCTAAACAAGTACATGTTGTGGTGGCTACAATGACACTCCACAACTATGTTCGACGGAATTACTCTTAGTCGGATCCAGACTTCAGTATGACTGACGACGATCACATACAGGTCCCACCTGAAGCATTTAAATTTCACGTCGAACAATTTATAACACTGATAGAGAGGGAATCACAGGAATTTGACACCCAAGACGGCGAAGGCGTAGTGGAAATGATATCTTTGAGAGAGAGGATCATAGATGCTGCTGTCGGATGCTGGCAAACCGTCTCATCTTTACTTTATAGACTCTATGTTTTTTTCTTATGTTTGTTGTGTCATTGTTACTTTTGATTTTATATTATTTACATGTTTGAAAAACTTATTGGATTGTCTTTTTTGGTGATATGCACGTGTGACACAGGACGTTGATTTCACGTGATTTGAAGGCAACCAATAACTCATTTTTTTACAAAGTCCACTATCTTCATGTATTGACAGACTCATTGGTTGGTGTAATTCGTTCTCTGAGACCTCACACCTATATTTTTTTCCAATTTATGTTCTTTTATTCGATATTGTTTTCTGTAATTTCCATCTCCTTGTACTTTTTTTTCTTTTGTTTAATTTTTTTAAGCTGTTTAATGTTTTCTCTCCTGCATCTTTCAAGGAACATGAGCTCCAGGATTTCAGAGACCTCCCAACGTGTGTTTTTCTGTTGCGGACTACAGACCTCCTTACTGACATCACGACGGGCAAGCAGTTACGAAAGATGGTTGCAAACAGGATAAATTGATTATTTGAATAAGCTGAATAAGCTGCAGCCGCCCCCAAACAAACCCTTAAATTGGTTTATGTAAAATTAGTCAAGCTAAATTAAGAGAATTTTCGCTCGTTCATGCATCACTTATCTCTAATAGGTTTAAGCATCAAAAAATAGTGAGAAAATTTTCTGGCAGACTATCCACCAATTTTGCCTTCAGCTATTTTAATACAACGAATGTGATGGATCAAAGCCTTATTTTTTTTCCCCCGAGCACTCGACTTTCTTTTGGCCAACTCTTCAAACAACCAAGCTAACAGTTTTTCAGATAAAAAGTAATCTAAAATTGTATTCTTTGAAGACTTAAAGGCAGAACTCCTCCTTGTACTTTCATAATAGTGTAAGAATCGAAGCTGTAATTTTGGGTACATACAAATTTAGATTTGAAACAAAAGTATTGTAGGAGGCTTATCATTAAAGCTATATAATTCACCCAACTAGCACCGAAAAATATGAATATTTGAACTTGATGCTACGGTGGATGGGTATGAAGTATAGTATTGTGAAGTATATTTTCAAGTGTCAAGTTCAAACTCCTATCTACGCCCGAGTGAAATTGAGAAATTTTTTTTTGATGAAGTTTGTTATGTGATTTTTTAGATCTACACAAGAAGAAAATAACATTTGGGTTATTATCAACATATTATTCAAGTTATCTTATTTTTGTCATTGAAACACACAAACTCAGCAATATAAGTTAACTAGATTGTATTTAGAAGATTAGCATATAACATGATTGATACCAAAGTTAATCAAGAAAACAATAAGGAATGATATTTTTATTATGTAAAAGCATTGTAATTACAATCAGGACCTCAGAATAGAAAGAAGGTACAACTCAACACAAATATCTCACTGGAGTGAAACAAAATAGCAGATGGAACGACGACGAGGCGGCGTGGACAACAATCGGAAGTGGTGTAGGAGGGAGTCAGAATGAGCAAGTTCGTGCAGGTATGGAGGGTTCAGGTGAGATGGAAGAGGTGGTTGGAAGGCAAGGGGTAACAGGTGAAGAGGCAAGGGAAGATGAGGGCTATTTGACGGGAGAAAGATTAAGTGACGACAATGGTTGGGAGTCTGTGGCTGGAAGGAAAAAGATCAAGAGCAGGTTTCAACGGTGAAGGATGCAGTTAGATGTGGGACACAGGGTAAACAGGTAAGGCGTCAAAGAGTTAGACAACAACAAGGAAGAGGGGGATAAGGAAAGATACAAACAAGCTCAGAACAAGCTATAGCTAAAACATTTTCTCCCAATTGGATAAAACCTTAGAAGTAAAAAGAGGGAGAATAGAGGATGTCCAAAGAAAAATCTCAAGCACAATCTAAACCCTAAAACAGAAAAAAAAAACATATTTATAATAAATGAAAACTATGAGAGGAGGTCCCTCCCTTTGTGTGGTAACCCTAGCCCATAAACGTGGATGGGTCAGACCTGCTTCCCTTTTGGCTAAACTGGCTCAACTAATC